TGTTGAGGTTCGTGGGATTCAAGTTCTCAGGTTGTAACGGTTTGTTAAGCAACCGTAAGCTTAACGGAAGTATGTAGTGTAGCTCGAGAGAGTCTCTCGGGAGACTGGATGTAGCCACAAGTTGTGGTGAACAGGCGTATATTGATGTGTTATTTCTTTACGCTTTTAATTCTGCAAATTTCTTTATCTGTACGATATTTATTCCACGAAAATTTATAAACTTATTAACCCCCCTAGTGAAGTGCACTTATTTTAACAGTCCTTTCGCATGGTGGTCAAAGTCTAATGAAGTGGATCGATTTCTATAGAGAAACCTAATTCTGGAATGTTAATGATTTCCATCACCTTGAAAAACTTTAATTTCGCAAGGAAAGAAATCTCCCTGGAAATCGGAATGGATTGTTTCCTTTGCCATTTGGATTCCCCGTAAACCCAGCGCTGTAAAGGTGACTTTACTTTTTGGTTTTTTTGTTAGTGTTATTAATGAAACTCAAGGCATTATTGTCTATTCTAAGCCCAAAAATTATAAAAAATAGCACTCGTCCTATTTCGAGAAACACATTATTGTTATGAAATTAATGATTGTTCATTTATTCAATTAATCAGGCATACTTTCTAGAATAGTAGATTAAGACACTAATTAATGAACACTAATTATGTACAGTACTTCCCACTGGTATTTGTATTCATACCAAGCCTCTCCACTATAAATAGAGGCCTAATCCCTGCATTGTTATTACCATTAAGAATAAGAAGAAAAGTGAAGAGTTAATAGAGAGAAGAAATCAGAAATATATTATATCTATTCTCATAATCTCTGAGTAGTTTTTCTCTCATTTTACAACACGTTATCAGCACGAATTTGCTCAAAATCCCAGAATCCTTGTTCTTCTCAGAAGGTATATTTATTTAATTTTCTTCATAAACAAATTAAAATATTTTCTTAAAACTATAAGAAGTATGCTCTGTGATTTCCCAAAGTTGGGATCCTTCACATCAGAAACTTATAGTTATAAAAATAAAATTAGATTAATTAAAAAGGAATAAGTTTTCTCATAATTGCACAAAATCACATTTAAAAAAAGGTATAGAATTTAATATGAAGTAGCTAAGATCGAAAAACGAAAATTAATTTTATCTTTTAAAATACTATTAAAAGATAAATAGTAAAAGAAAGAAAAAAAACATCCTAGACTTCAATAATTTCAATTACGAACATACCTTGCTTCTACCCTTTTCTTCTCATTTGTTCTCGTATCCCTAGATTAAAAAAATATATAAAGGATTGTTTAAGATGATGAGTGTGTATATAAGACTGGCTATGATGCCTTTTTACAACGGTACAACCATATACGTAGTACATACATATCCATATACATGTAACACCCTAATCCGTCTAGGTCTGCATCCCCTTTCGGACTAAAGTATTAACTTGGTAATCGTAAAATTTAAAACATTTCAAACACTTTTATTTATCACAATAATATTTTCATATCATAAACAGTACAGAGTTTTCAATATTGCGGAATCTTAACAAATCATAATTACAAACATAATTTATTTATGTTCTTTAATTCAAAACATCATATCCATTCCGACAGTCTCGCCTCCGTCCGCCTCCAGGATCACGTCACATCATTCTTTCTAATAACCTGCGTGTAGCAAATAAAACATACTACACGCTCAGCGTTGAAGCTGAGTAAGCATATCTAATGCATCGAACATCCATATAAACTGAATCTAAATTCATAATCAAATCATTTGATATCATGAACATAATATTCAGTTCAGATAATCAATAATTATTAAAAATTATTCATTATTCAACATTTATATTCACATTCAATGTTCATCAGTGATTCATAATAATTGCAATATTCAATTCAATATTCACCATTCAATATTTATTCATATTCAATATTCAATATTCAACATTCAACATTCAACAATATCCTTAAAATATTCTTAGTCTAAGGCCAATCACTTTAATATTTGTCAACTCTTACACGAATTCTAGTTTAAATAATTAAACTATATTCCAGTATAAAATATTCCTAAATAATCCTTAAGATAGGCCTAGTTTAAGATAAAAGGGTTTTGAAAATCTTAAACTTACCTTCACTTAGGGCCAACCAAAAACCGACAGCGTAGTGTTCACTGTTGGGTGGGTGGACACCCAAACGAGTAGGTACTCAAGTTTGGTTCTTGGATCCCGTACGTACGTTTTAACCCTAGCCACCGGGGTTCATACCCACAAGGCCTAACTTATATAGGTATATCTTAGAGTTCTTCTAGATACCTTTCAAATCAACATTAATATGGGTATATCTTAGAGGTCTTCTAGATACCCTTGACAATACATATTATTTTCACAATCATCAATATATTCATTATGATTTAATCATTCATAATTACCATTTTTAATCAAAACATTTATAAAGATTTAATCATCATAATCACCAACCAATAATCATTACCATAATCATCAACATATTCATTTTTATTCAGTAGGTTCATTAATCATAATCATCAATCAACATAACATGTAAAGCAATAACAATTAGCGGTCTAGTTTCAAGTGTTAACACCTGAACTTACCGTCATGCATCACATAACATTTTTATTTGTTAAAAACATCATTTTTATTGTAAAGAATCATCCTTAAAATAATCATAATCAATTGGTATCAAAAATAGGATTTTAGAGCTCAAAAATAGCAATTTCGGGCAAATTTTCGGATCAGAACTTCGGGGGATCGATCCAGCCCTTTGGATCGATCCATACTATGAAAAATCACTCCCAGGGGATCGATCCAAGCCCCTGGATCGATCCAGACAGTGGTTTTTCAGCCACTGTTCATCATCTTCTTCGTTCGGGTCCAATTTCGGAAATACGGTTTTTAGTTATCGAACTTCAACGAAACTATATAGAGATGTTCTCCAAGGTTCATAGATCATTTTGGCATCATTAATTCATACTTTTAACATCAATTTCATGGTTTATGATTCTTGGTTCTTCAAGCATGTCAAACACAAAACCCAACCAAACGACTGTTTATGAACGTAGAAACGATCTATATGAACATTCTAGTCACTAGATATATCTACGGGCTTACCTCAAAGATTAATGGAGGTTTTAGAAAATTTCCGGCGAAACTTCCGGCGGGGATTGTAGCTTGCTCCGGCGACTTCACACTAAACTGATAGCACAACTTCGTTCACCACACTCACAGCTTTCTCTCAGAGTTTATTTGAAGGAAAATGGTGAAGAAATGCGGGAGAATTGTTCCTCTTATATAGGAGAGTTTGGAGGAAGAAGATGAAATTCACTGCGTCACCTTCCCTGTTAGAGCGGCTAGTGGAGTGGGCTGCGATATCCACGATTCCAAACGCAAGTCCCTGATTGGGACTAATTTGGTCCCATCGGGGAACACTTTTTGGTCCAACTTTCTCCGAATTGAAATCCGTTTGCACCGTTGCGATTGTACAATTAAACTCTATCCAACGATATAATTTTTATATTTATTCATTCTACTTTTTCCGACATCATATTTTTAGGTGGTTGACTTTGACAGAGTAAAAATTGATTTTGTTGACCTTTACTTAGAAAGGTTTTTACATTTTATTCATGTTATTTATTCTCATGATTTATTTCAATAAATCATTTCAAAGTTCATATCATAAACAAATTTCTTCATTTATCCTTGATTTGGGTCTGTACTCAGGTTCCCAAGTAAAGTCACACAATAAGTCAACATATTGGATTTATCTCTGTAAGACTTATCCAGATTTTGATATTGAATATTAAAACATATTTCATTTCGGCCCAAAGCCCAATAACAATTATTATTATTATTATTATTAATCAAAATAATTTGATTACTTGAATAATTATTCATTAATAATTCTAGGGTATATTTTGGGGCGTTACAATACATGTGACTTTGTTTTGTCTTTTTATTACTAAAAGAATCATTTTATTTATTTATTTATTTTAGTTGCTAATCATGACATTTGATTTTTTTTATGGAGTACGAAAGTGTAACAGGTGACATTTGTCATTTTTCTTTTGCTCATTTTTGATTTTTTTTAAAAAAGGGAATCAAATTTTTTTTGTGTAATTTAAGGGAAAAGAATTGGCTCATATTAGTACACATGTCTAACATTTTTTTAGTTCATGTATTATTTATATTGTGATCTTACCTTTGCTTTGTTTTAAAGCTCTTGAATAATCAATACTGCTCCATACGTTTGGCAATTTTTTTTATTTGGTAAAATAAATTTTTTTACACCTATTTACTTAGTTTTAAAAAAAAAATATTAATAAAATTAAAATTTATTGTTTTTGTAGTTTCCATGGCCAACATCACTAAAAGAGAATTCGACATCCTTGATTTATCCGGTCAAAGGTACCTGGAATGGAGGGTTGATGCACTTGCTCACCTCAAGGCTAATGGCCTAGAAAATACAATTGCTGAGAATAATACATCATCATCTCAGCAAAAGGCAAAAGCCATAATTTTCCTTCGCCACCATCTTCATGAAAGTTTAAAATCTGAATATTTTTTGGTGGAAGATCCGAAGGAATTATGGGATAATCTCCAAGAGAGATACGGACATCAACAAAAGGTCCTATTGCCAAGAGTTCAATATGAATGGATCAATTTAAGATTTCAAGATTTCAAATCTGTTTGTGACTATAATTCTACTATTTTTAAAGTCACGTCCACATTAAAATTATGTGGACATAATATCACTGACCATGACATGTTGGAGAAAACTTTTTCCACCATGCATATGTCAAATGTGATATTACAGCAACAATACAGAGAAAAGGGCTTTAAAAAGTATTTTGAGTTAATCTCAGTATTACTTGTTGCTGAGCAGAATAATGAGCTCTTAATGAAAAATCATAACATGAGGCCCACCGGTTGTAGCCCTACAAATTTTGGCCATTCTGATCGTGGTTTAGCACCAGAATCAAATGTTATCCAAGGTGGTGCTCGTGGACACTTTAAACGTGGACGCGGAAATAACCGCAACAAAGGGCCAAAAAGGGGCTATAAAAATCCAAATGGATCATCCTCCAAGGGAAAAGGGAAATTCAAACCACCACAGGCTAAAACTCATGAAAAGCCAAAACCAAGTGGTGAATGGTATAAATGTGGCATAAAAGGACATTGGGCTAATTAATGTCGAACGGCAAAACACTTGGTAAAATTATACCAAGCTTCCACAAAAGGAAAAGGAAAAAATGTGGAGGCTAATTATGCTGATGATATCAATCCAATTTTTCCTAAATTTGATGTGTCCGATTTCTACATGGATGATGCTGAAATTGGTGATGAGGTGGCCTTTGGTGGAACTACTACTGTTTAAATATTTTAATTTACGCTGTTATGGTGTGTTTACTTTTAAAATAAATGTTTAAAATCTGTACTTTAATTTTCATGTGTACTTGTATTATTATGTCTGTTCTAAAAAATTATAATAAAATGTATGATATTTGTGTTAATTATCTTGAACTTATATTTATTTATATTCAAGATATGGAGATAACTGCTTATGGCTCCAGTGGCAAAGAACAATGTCTAATTGACAGTGCCACAACGCACACCATTTTGAGAAACAAAGAATATTTTTCTCAAATGACATTGATGGAAACTAATGTCAATACAATATCTGGTGTTGCAAAGCTCATTGAAGGGTCTGGAATGGCTTGTTTAATCCTTCCCCAAGGAACAAAATTAATTATCAAAGACGCATTATATTCCAGCAAATC